GGCAATGAGATAGAAAGATGTTCGTTGTTCAAAACACATCCTTCACACATTTAAACCTGAATTCACATGTTTTTAGACTAAATCAAAGTTATAACAATATCAATGATGCATACGTGTTGTGCGTTTTACATCATTTGTCATGCATACAATTATCCCCGTTAATGCGTTCAGTCCAGTACATATGCATTTTTAAAATCTGATAATATTGAGCTTGCCCAAATCCAAATAGCAGTAAAAGGCTTGCCAGTTGATGACAGTCGTTTGGGATAAACCACCTACCTAAACTTGCCTGGTTACAACTGCACAGAGCTTGGTAAAAACACAGACCTTTGCTCACAGTCATCATATTCGCCTACACTGCCAAACATTAAATCTCCCCACCTTGTAATAGACAACGTTAACTTCGCTATCGTCATAATTAGAGTATTTAAAATGTCTGCTTGACACAACACACCGTACAATACTGAAGCATACACAGACACTGCTACCCGGACCTGTTATACAAGGTCACTCGCTTGATCGCGCTTGTCACATACCCCGTTCTGAAGTTTACCCGATATTTTCACTGCTATTTTTAGTTTGACAGGCGATCATTGTGTTTTCGACCATTCATTCGAGTCAAAGAATTACGAACACAGACGACTACTGAATATGCGGGACATGATTGGCTGAAACAAACCTGTGGAAGATACCGAGCATTAACATACATCTGGAGTGAGTGAATGAGTTTTGTTTTACGCCACTTTTAGTAATATTCCAGGAATATCACGGTGGGGGACACCAGACTTACTCTCCAACTAAACAATGCCACTCAAAGAAGTTTTCGGTGGAATAGTCCCATATACTTCCTCAGAAGAATTCCAGCCAAGAAACCTGATCTTGTCCTCTTTGATAAAGACAGCTGCAGCAACTTATTGAAATTTACGATCATCTGCAGTCGTACTGCTATACCTAGCATCGTATTTATCACTCGCTTACATAAGGTGAAATATCACAAGGTTGTCATGGTAACTATAATTTGGAATACTATTTATTGTCTTATTGTTTTATCTTCGATTAGAATTTAAATCAGTTTTGACGTGAGCATGTTAAGAGAAAAGAAGCTGTAAAACGAATATTAATGTGATGGAACCTATAGGCCTTTGTAAAAGCGAGTTTTAAGCCACCTACTTAAAAAAACCTCATGATAAATATTTGCTAATCCGTGGCACGATTCCAACCATATCATGAGCATGTGTTTGTGAATCATAATCAAATAGTGATGTTACAAGGTGCCCATGCCGAGTCAACAACACATGGAAACGCACGAGAATTACAACACGGGCCCCTAAACCACTGATGCTCCGTGACCTAGAGACACAGGTGATTGAGCATATGTTGGGACCCTGAAGCAAATATATCCAAGTCCACGCAGGTCTAGAAAATGTGGCAAGCCTAGATTTCCACAGCTTCTGGAGAAAGTCTCAGGGCTCCTTTTCATTATATTTATTTATTTTTACTATGAACTCTCTTTCTGTAAAATATGCTCATTTCAGAGACTAGTTGTTCGTCTAGTAGGGACGGGTAGAAGACAAAAAGACAAAATGGATACTCGTGCTGTTATACTTTTGAATTATAAGTAAACATTTGTTCTTGTTACGGGATAAATGTATACTTTCCAGTTTCAACCAAATGTAAATTCGAAAGATATCGAAATATAGGTTAAGCTATTTGAATCATATTTACAATTAAAAGACCCAAACAATGGTCTGTTGTCCAAATACTTTGTTTCCCATATCTTGTCCCAATCTGTATCCAGAGACCGCATAATAGTCTATTATATGGTCTCTGCTGTATCATAGTCACAGAACGATATTATTTCCCCTTCCGTCCAGCCCTTCCTGTAATGCTTACGCCCTCAATAAAGCATATCTAGATATTCCCTGGTTCACCGTCTGTTATAATCTGCAGGAAAACTCACTGCAGGGTTCGGGTTACAGACTGAACATACCAAACACCCATGGCTGGCGGGGACCAACATCTTGAAGAAAGTCTCCTTTAGAATTTTAGTTGGTAAATATTAGTATTTCACTGACTCAGTCACATTGGAAAACACATAGCAGCCTATAATTCATTGTGACTATGATTAAGTCATCACTGTAAAACACAAGGGTTATTTCCTTTGAGTTAACTGACAGGCTTTCGGTATCTAATATTTGGAACTCCGGCCAAAGGTGATGTTATGCTGTCTGGAAATATGGCGTTTTTGTAATGCTTTGGTTGCACTTAATAATAAGTGATTGTTAAATGTACATAAAATTATGATGTTTTTGAAGGATAATCTCAGTTGACTTAGATATTTTGCACGTGTTTTCCACACCCACCTTTCAGTTTTTATGTTCGTGACATGATCTGCACACTGATAATTTAAAACGGGTATATAAATAATAACTGTTTTCAATCTTTACCCAGTTTAGTTTTCCATTTATTTAGCAATTTTCAGTTTCTATTAATTTCTGGAAATTTTGTACGGAGGTACATGTAACAGTTTCACCCAATAACAGTAAAGCATACAAATAATACGTTTCGGTACTTTGATAGATTAATAAGTTCACATTCTATTCCTTGATATTGGGATGCCAAAATGATTAACATTATTATATAATATATAACAAATAAGACAACAAAAAGCAAAAATTAAAAACGCATGAGCAACATAAATGATGTCAGGTAGTAAGCTTTCAATAATTACAGAAACAGCTTAGTTATCTAACTTTATGAACTAATTGCAATCACTAGAGTTTTCTATGATCTACCTAAGAGATGAAATCAAAATGGGTGTACAGTATATTCCGTCGGGTAACTGAAATTTGGAAAAACGTCCGTCTGGAACAATATCTGTATTCCAAATCAAAAAGAGGCCATCCCAAGTAGTGGTGTAACGATTCATCGATAGTATCTTTGAATAGTCAACTATGCGATACGAATGCATCAATACAAAACACATTTAGGCAATATATCAGGATATTTCTATCACGAGGGTCCGTGATACATCGATGTATCGCCACAAGAGACGATATATCCCGATAAATATTTAAGTACTACTTGAAGTTGTAAGGAGTATTGCATTAGGAATAGGAAAGGAGGCTCTTTGAAATTCTTCTGAAATTTAAAAACAAATTGAGCCTTATAGGAATTTGTTTGTATCTGTTACATGAACAAAGGAATGATAGAGCGTGAACATTTTTTAAACTGTGAACTGTACAATACTTGTCTTCAAGTAATTGAAATATGTTTTAGTTGTTTGACAAGTAACACCATTTATTCACAACTATGAATGATGTCTTAGCTTTGTTAAGAAAGAGAACAAAGATAGGACACAATTAAGACAGCAGACGTAAGAGTTTTTTTCAGTGATTCTGAATTCTGATATACATGTAAATTACATTGAATTGTTTGTGAAAGAACTGGTGTAGAAACACAACTTCCCAAAGGAAACTTCAGTTTCAAATTGTTTTGGGGGCGTGCTAAACATGTTTGACTGTACCTTCTTCAACATGAAATACTGAAATTTTATTAGATTAACAGCTCTTTAAGTGTGTGTGTGCGAATGTAACACAGGTTTTAATGAATTTATAACTATTTTAAGTCACGATTGGCTGAAATACTGCCACTGTGACTATAAACTTTAACTCACTCACTCACTCATGATATATCGTCTCGCCTCATTAAACTGGTATCAGGATAATTACATCGTCTCCCCACTTAGGTTACGAAACACAATTCTAATACCAAATATGTACATATTTACACGTTTACAACAGTAATTTACATCTGGAATCATTAATACATTGTAATCATCTTTTTTGAAAGTATAGACAGCTATGATCATGAGTATGATAACTCATACAAGTGAGCACTAAAATTAGGGACCTACCGGTTCATGTCTGTGTGAACACACCTGTCTGTGTTTTATTGCAATAAGCAATCTCTCCTTGTATGTCATATATAAGAAGTGTACCTAAGGTCAGTTACTTAAACTATAATGTAAGTTCCATTACAAAAAGTACAAACGGTATTACCTACTGATCAGAATGCCTTATCAGTACCCCACCGCCACCACTCCACACTAGGCCTACACACACACTGCCTAACATACATATCGCTCTGGCCCATAGACCCAATATTTGAACCTTTTAAACAGACATCATGTGTATGTCAAGAAAGGCAGGCACGTTAATAGTGGTGCTCAGTCATGGGTATTCTAATGTGTTTCTAATGATCTCCTTGCATTATGGCGTGGTCCGACGCGCTAACGAACCCGATGTGACAGTTACATTACAGAACCATTGCAATACATGTTAAAGTAGTGTTAATCTTGTAACAAAATATTTACCCATTACCAACCATTTACGCGTGTACTAAATATATGACAAACCTAACCCTGGTCATACGAGACTTCAAAGGTATAAAAATGCATGTCCTACATTCACAGCATTTACATATGTTACACATGATAGAAAACACATGAAAACAATGGTCAGATTTACACACCTGTGAAATACATGTAAATACAGAGTTGAGTGTTCGTTTATGTTAACACCCCTTTAAACGTGTGTAAATCTGACAGCCAGATGATACCTAGATTTCAAACGCTGTTCATATGGCCGCCGGATGAAACGTATATTCCCTAACATTAGTAAATATGGGTAATACTAGTCATTTTGTGTGGTGATGGAATGCGATGACATGTGTCAAACAAGACACCGAGTCTGATCACCTGATCCAGTTAGTTGCCTCTTACAAGCGTGGTTTGCTGCATACCCATTCTAAACCGGATCTTCACGGGTAGGTTCAAGGCTAAAACATTCAGTATCAATGCCGGTATATTCTAATGTCACTGTGACCGTTCTGCTTGACGTGTATAAAAAGTTCGAGCGTGTATCGTTTCATGTCTAATTTTATTCGTGAGGACTGATATGCCTTTCCCGAGAAAATGTCATTACCTCAACGCCGTCACTGCGCATGTGCAATTCATACGCGACGCTAACCACGCAAAGTTACATTCATTTTGAATTCTGTCTGAACCACAAGCGGACGTTAAGGTAAGCAGCTCTGTGAACCTGGAAACTTTATAGGGATATTTTGTATGCACACTTTGGTTTAAAGGATTTTTGAATATTTTCACTGAGGTTAATGTTTACAAATTACTTGCAAGATATTTAAGTAAATTTCAGTATAATCCCGTCAGTCGGAAACCTTAGTTGCCCGGAAACCTTTCTATTCCTGGACTCTCTGTTAAGGAAGACTTATGTTCCATAGGATGTAAAACTTCGAAGTGCATTAATGTTTGTGTTGTATTTGGATCATCAAAGTGAGGGTTGAAGAGGAGAGACACACATATACTCATTGAAACGAATAAGGGAACACATGAAAGTGTTCCTTTATTCTTTTCCAGGTTTCTTCACAAGGTATGTATTGCACTGTGAGTGAAATTCTGGAAATATATAAAGGAACACTTGTACTTTCAAGTGTTCCCTTAATCATTTCCATGAGTATATATTACCGGTAGGGTCTGTGTAGTGGATATACGTTTTAATATATATTGTGAGAAGACCAAGTTGGAATGGTTTACAAAACGAACGCTGTTAGAAATTTGGTACAATGTATGCGTTTATATAATCGCGACGAAGTAGTGATCAGCACCAGTGTTGTGCGGGAGACTCTCCCTGATGCTGTCACAGGAGAGTTACGAGCTCAAGTATGACAATGTAATGTTGTGTTTATCTCGAGAACGACTAGGACAGTGTGCCTTGTAATATACAGTGTAGGTGACTGTGATAACGAAAGTAGCAATAATGTCGGGTAAATTTCAGACAGAAGTATGTAAGTTATGATTACACAATGATTTCTAAATGGCATTGTGTAATCATAGCTTTCGGTCGTGGGAACCGTGCCAATCAATACCTATCAGAGGGGTACACAAAGCCCGCAGTCTAGACTACCAGTTGTCCGACTTCCATTTTTGTGGAAGTCGTGGTAGCTGAATAGGTTAGGCGGCTGACTTTGTGTGCTGGCGATAAGGTGCCTGACTCTGAGGGTGTGAGTTCGAATCTCGGATGGGGCTCAACTCAAAAAAGTACTAGAATTTGTACTTTACTAAGAAAGTGTAATCCCAAATATAACATATGTTACAGAAGTATGTAAGTTATGTATGTCACAGAAAGATATCAGCAGAAGAAATATATTATTGTAGGTTTGAACTGATAACAATCGCGGAATGTATTTGTAATCCTTCTCACACTTTATGCTGGTGGTGGATACAAGTGAAATCGGGCCGGGCTAGTTCTGTGCTAACACCCCATTAATACCAAAGCCTCATATCACAGGGAATTGGCCGTGGTCGGTCTGTTAGCACCTAAATTGAAAATTCTTCTTCTTTTAACCTACGTACATGATATCAACCGACATATTTCAACACGACTAGACTGTTGGGTGTTGCAGCTCTCAACTGACCATCCGACGTCAGTAGTATAAACAATGCGGCTACGGAACCAGCCTATATAAGGCAAGGAATCAATAAGTATCTATTCCTAACTCATATCAATTTTTAAAACCATAACACAACTACTTTTCATCTCCCCTGTAAAAAAGTAACCATAGTCTTACTCGAAAGAGTAAGTCTATGGTGTATGGGGTCATCCTATATAAGGCAAGCAATCAATAAGTATCTATTCCTCAATTTGTAAACCCATAAGATCACATCAATTTAAAATTTTGACTTCAGCAAAACAATTTAACGTGTATCTTCTATGATGTCTTTGGTTTTTGTAATAAATGCTTGTTGGGCTTGTTGTATCCTTTGGTTTATGTATTTTATTTTTCTCGTTCTCGCCGATAGCAGAACTTTTTTGATGAAACTTTAATCGAATCTCTTCTTTGATTTTTTTATATTTTTCGAGCTCACATGGGATCAAACGAAACTCTTCCTCTGAGATTTTATCATCATTGAGTGCGGTGGAAATATGGTCTTCTATCGTGTTTAACTTTGCTTCAGCAAGAATTCTAATTTCATCATGTTTCTTAGCTTTATGATCCAATTTGCGAGATACCAATTTAAACACTGACCCAGCTATTCCTGTCACTACAGCTGTTATTTCAAGGCCTAACACCACTGGTGCGGCTACGATGGTGGTCAACAATCCAACTCCTACTGCTCGTAATCCCATGCTAGTTGTCATAAGAGTGGTATCAGCCCCATCCATGTAGTTTAAAGCTCTATTGTATGTTTTGTGTAGCGATGCCCGAATATCACGGTCTTGTTCTAACTGACGTTTTATTTCACATATCTGTTTAAGTCGAAACCCTTCTACACTTCCCTTTATATTTCCTTCTTCATCTATGGCTGGGTATAGCCCCATTTTATGTGTTTATAATATATTTTATAAATTATTTTTTTATTATATGTCATTTAATTTTTGATTAATATATTTGAGGCTTATAAGGTTTAGATTATTGTACAGGTAAATGGGTGAGACATTAATAGGTATGTTTTGGTCTAAAATACTAACCCCATCTAGGCTTATTAATGGTTTATAACCTTGTCTTATTATGATTCGGCAACGTTTATTCTCGTGTCTTTTAAACCAAATTATTCTCAGGCCGTCTAAAAGTATTCTTGGACTTGACATCTCTGCGAGATATACGTCTATAACTAGCGTGGTGTGTGATTTCATACCATAATTTGAATCTGAAAAAAAATCACGTTGGTAATCGTAAATGCTGCGAATGAATAAACTGGCATTCAAGCCGACTGGAGCTAACATGTTACCAGTGTGCCCTGGTATTCGTAATACTTGAACAGTATTTTCTTTGAAGGGATTAAGGACGTGAGAAAGAATCCCGTTGTTTGTAATTTTGGAAACGAAATCATTTTGATTAAAAAGATGTAAGGTGAGGTTAGTGTTATTTTAATTAACCATTCAAGCTCTGAAAAAATCTGCTAGTGCCATTCGTTCGTATACGTCGTCTTTATAGTATAGTAGGTACGGGGTGTCTTCCTCACCAGGTAAATTGAACCGCTTTGTGTCTCCTAGATCACCGAGTGTTACATTGGGGTGATGACTTACCATTGTTTATATAACTGTTATAAAATAGTTTCCAATTGTTTTTCTGATAATTTCTCAGGCGTTAACTTCAATTCCATAAAATGTATGTTCTCGGATAGAAAAATACTGGCTAGAGATATAGTGTCTTCCACGTTAATGGTGACACCCTGCAGACTGGTGTGTGAATCGTCTCCCACCCGCACGTAAATAGAGCAAACGCGATACTGGTGTTTTTTAGCCCACTGGAGTTTGATTCCCTTCTCGATCTCAATCTCACTCTGCGTTGGTTGGCCTAGGTAGACTTAGATGAACAGCGTGGAATTCTCCGGTAGATTTTGCAAGATGTTGATCACGCCGTCGAATTCAGACACCAACTTCAATACCGCGTTTTTCTCCCCTGGTTTAACCGATAGCATGTGGGCTGACATAGCCGAGAGTGGGCTGATGATTACACTGCGTCTCTCTGATGGGACGTAAGCCACGATTAGGGTTCCGTTGTTAACGACTTTGTTTAGTAAGTGGTCTTTGTTTTCCGTGAATATCTATGGGGAACTTAGTGTGATGTTGAGAAACCAGTTGATTCGAGATGGTAACATCATCCACTTGTTATCGTTAGTGAACATTAGATAGTACGGTTTGTTTTGATCAACGTTCGTTCTGTCAAAGTCTTCAAAATCGAACAATTTACTACCGAACGATGGGTATATTCTCCATTCATCCTCGTCATTGCGAACTATATCATATCGAGTGTTGCCGGCAGATCTTGATGTGTCTAGGTTAAAAGTACTACCAGATCCACCGACGACGGGAACTTCAACTCGTTTGAAAATGATTACACAATGCCATTTAGAAAGTGGTCAAATGCAACATGTGTTATATTTGGGATTACACTTTCTTAGTAAAGTACAAATTCTAGTACTTTTTGAGTTGAGTCCCATCCGGGATTCGAACTCACACCCTCAGAGTCAGGCACCCAATCGCCAGCACACAAAGTCAGCCGCCTAACCCACTCAGCTACCGCGACTTCCACAAAAATGGAAGTCGGACAACTGGTAGTCTAGACTGCGGGCTTTGTGTACCCCTCGTTTGAAAATGCTGTTTAAAAGCTTAAAAGCGTATATTTTACCATCTATTCCTGATTCATCAAACCCCCTAGTATCACCTAATTCTGATAATCCTACATTACTGCATCTTTTTACTCGCATTCCTGGGCCCTGATTGCTAGCCATTATTGTATATGTAGTGTTACGCTGAGGTATCCTATATTTATATTATTATTTTTTGCATCTAAAATTGATATTTTTAATTCAGAAATATTACCATTTATCAATTTTTTATACTGTCGCGATGAAAACGACTCGGTGCGTCCGTCATTGTATTTTTCTGTTTTAACCGGGACAGCCCTCAACAACGTGGAAGGACGTTCACTTTGTACATTATCTGTTGTGCTAAGCTGATTGAGATGAACACATAGCTCGCGGTATGGAACTAGATCTGGTAACTTCGTACCAGTGACGGTAATCTTAGGGTCTATTTCTTCTTGTGTCAGCCCTAGTATCTTCGCCAACGGTCGACCGAGTCTCATTTTGTTTGGACTGTTGTTAATCAACACCACTGTTCCGTTTGAGTCATTTATTTTGAGTTCAGCTCCTAAGGGTTTGAAAACTTCATCATTTAAGAGACACACGCTGTAGTATCCATATGTTATTTTATGTAGAAATCCACCAAAGAACACCTTTTTATTATTGCTGTTGATGTTTGTCCATTGCGGGTAGTATATCGCATAGTGTCATTTCGACTTGACCAGACATGTTATCGATAACATGCATAAGTTGAATGGCCTCACCGCTCGTTACACCTGGAAGCGTAATGTACATATTTATATATATTTATATATTATATAATAATATGTATAAACCCGAGTAACGTTACCCCAAAAACGACAACATAAAGGCTTATGACTTCACACACATGAAAATAGTGGATGACACGGCTGG